GAGCGGTTGAAGCGGGAGAAGCTGGAGGACAGCGACTGGGTGACGTTTGCCGTGCTGGTCCACAAAGCCACGCCGCAGAGCAGCAGCAGCGTAGGTGTTCCCCGCCGCTGCCGATCCTCCGCATGGCTGTTCTCACATCAACCTGGCTCTCCCTTCCCGCAGGGCAAAACCTTCAGCATCTGGAAGCTGAACGACCTCCATGACCTGGACGTGTTCGTGTCTCTGCTGCTGTTTGGCGACGTCCACAAGGAGCTGTGGAAGACAGAGCCCGGCGTCGTGGTGGGACTCCTGAACCCCAACCCCATGAAGCAGAAGGACGGCTACGACGGGGTGAGTCCTCCCTCCCTCTGGGTATCCGTTAGCGGCGCTCTGCGGCGGCTCTGACTCCTCTGATGTCCTGCAGGTCAGTCTGACGGTGGACCATCCTCAGAAGGTTCTGCTGATGGGCGAAGCTCTGGACTACGGCACCTGCAAGGCTATGAAGAAGAGCGGCGAGCCGTGCTCTCAGATCGTCAACATGGTGGCTCATCGTTTCTCTGCAGCTTAACCTCCGTCCTAAACGGCAGCCTAAAGCTCACCGCCTTTTTTCCCCTGCAGTACGAGTGCCAGTACTGCCAGTACCACGTCAAAGCCCAGTACAAGAAGATGAGCTCCAAGAGGGCCGAGCTGCAGTCGTCCTTCTCTGGAAAAGCCCCCAACAGGGTGAAGGGGGGCAGCCTGAGAGAGCGGCTGTGTCAGGACGGCTTTTACTACGGCGGCGTTTCCTCCGCCGCCTGCGCCGCCTCCCTGTGAGTAATGATTCAACTCCCATCCCCACCGACTCCCTGGTTGTAAGAACTCTGCTCATATTAGCGTTGGTTTAACCAGTGGGAAACATGGTGGTGGCGGTATTGTGTATTCTCTTGTTAAAGTGGCCTAGTCAAAGTCTAAAGAAGAATCTGAGCTAAAATTCTGTTTAGTCTCCATTCTTTCAGACTGAGGTTGATAGAAGTAGCTTTTCTAGATGTGCAGAAGGAAGAATTTACTGTTGTTTTTGATTATTTTTAGGCTCTAATGGCCTTTATCGTAGTGTTTCTGAAAGTAGGCAGACAGGAAACGGTTTTAGAGTGAAGCTGCAGACAAATGGAGGCATTTCTAGCGTTAAACCAGAGCTAAGCCTGAGCTGAGGGGATTTTTTACAACCAAGGAGTGTTTTTAGAAAAGCCAGCAGGAATGTGATGAGTAACAAGTTTTTTTTCAGGACTGCGTCCAAACCCAACAAACCGACCCAGAGAACTCTGGACAAGATGTTAGTGAGAGGATCTGCTCAGCCGGGTCCGGCCAGGAGGCTGGGTAAGCAGGCCGCTCTCTACGTCAGTAAAGGTTCAGTAAATGCATCGCTGAACGTTTCCTCTGATGGTGCGCAGCTCTGCAGTCCGGGGAAGTTTCCGGATGTTCTGATGAATTTAAGAGCCTGATGTCGGTGCCGACGCCAGGAGCTCTGCAACTGAAGAAACGCCTGGAACAGGACAGCCACCTAGGTTGGTATCGTCCTCTCTGCTGCAGCCTGTGAGGAGACCAGACCTTAATATTCTTTGTCTTCAGGCACCAAGGATGCATCTAAAGCGCCGCTTCAGTCCATCACCGCGTCCGACCTGCTCAAGCAGCAGAAACAGAAGCAGCGGGAGCTCCTCCAGAGTCGCCGACTGCGAGCCGAGCAGAGGGAGCTGCAGAAGCCGAGCGGCGCCGCCCTGACGTCCCCAAAGGCCGCCTCCGAGGTCCCCAAGGCGACGGGGAGCCCGGCGACGCCTCACGCCCCGACCTTGGGCCGCGGCTTCTCCGAGGGCGACGACATCCTGTTCTTCGACCACAGCCCGCCTCAGGCTCCGCCCCCCAGTCTGTCGGCCACTAAGCTGGCCGCTCTGAAGAAGCTGAGGGCCAAAGGAGCGGCGCTGGAGAGGGAAGACCCCAATGCTGTGAAGAGGAAGAGGAGTGACAGCAGTGAGATCAGCGCCCGGGTGGAGAAGAACCGGACCTCGCCCAGCGGTGCGGACCGTTTCTATTTTATCTCCCAAACATAGAACACAGATAAAAATCATTTTCCTTTTTTATCTTTTCCTGCAAAGGCGAGTCCGGTAAGGAGGAAGAGGAGGAGCCGGCGCTGAAGAAGAAACGCGAACAGCTTCGCTTCATTGAGTCCGAGGAGTTCCAAAAGATCCTCAACGCCAAATCTCGTCACGGGACGGTGCTGCAAGCGGTACGACCAGCGTCTTTTTATCCTCGCATCTTTTCACTACGGATACAGGTAACCGAGGTCACTTCCTGTTTCCCGCAGGCCGAGTACCAGCTGCAGGAGCGCTACTTCAACGCCTTGGTGAAGAAGGAGCAGATGGAGGAGAAGATGAAGGGAATCAGGGAGATGAAGTGTCGGGCCGTCACCTGTAAGAAGGTAGAGAATTCTCCTGCTGTAATGGACGCCTCTGTTTGTGACGTCAAGATCTGAATTCCCTCCGTTCTGCTCCTTCCAGTGCAGCTACACCTACTTTAAACCGGCAGATCGCTGCGTGAACGAGAACCACGAGCTGCGGTGGCACGACGCCATGAAGCGCTTCTTCAAGTGTCCCTGTGGACAGAGGGCCATCGCTCTGGACAGGCTGCCGCACAAACACTGCAGGTAAAGAATGCTGCCGGCCGACGGGAATCTAAACCCTCCGTTCTGGTAAAAACCACTTTGTTTCTGCTTTATTTATTTTAGCAACTGCGGCCTATTTAAATGGGAGCGTGACGGAATGCTGAAGGTAAGTCCCAGAACTCCAGAGAAGCACCAAAAAAAAAAAAAATCAGATCTGATTCTCTGCTTTTTCTCTTTTAGGAGAAAACAGGACCAAAGATCGGCGGAGAACTTCTTCAACCTCGAGGGGAAGAGCACGCAAAGTTCCTCAACAGCTTGAAATGAACATGTGCTTTTTTTATCGTGGTATCGAACCATTTTTAGTTAGTTTTTAATATTGGACTTTTTTTCAGTGTATGTTTAATGTATTAAATTTGCTGTAAACAGGCTGATTAAAGCAATAACAAGGTCATGTAAAGGGTCATTTTTTTTCATCTTTCTAATAAAAACAGAGTCTGAGTTCTTAAAAAAAAGAACTTTTGACAAAGAAATAAATGTGCTGATATTTACACCATTAAAATAACTGGACAGCCTTTAATTCCATAAATTACCTCAAACTACATAAAACCAAACAAATACATCCTTCGTTTATTTAATTTTAGGTGTTTCACTAAAGTTCAAACTATTACATATTTTTACTCAAGCTAGCTGAGAAAGAATCTGTCAATCTTTTTGTTTGATCAGCATCTTCATTTAAGCCGCCTTTTAAAACAACTACAGTTTAAACAAATGTTTTAATATTTTTCTCAAACATGGCGAATTTCAGCTCAAATACAGTAAGATATATTTAAGAGGTTGAGACAAATGTGCAAACTTGTCATTTAAAGAACCCATTTCTAATATTTATGTGTAGATTTGATTTAAAATGCATTGCTATCATTAGGAATGAAAATATATTTTTACACATTTTGTGAAACTTGAACACATCTTTCATGTTGATTCATCTTAAACTTATTTTCTAATATTTTACAGTATAAAAACCTATCTGCTTTGTTCATTTTTAATCACATGTATGTTGTATTTTAAGTAATATGGGAAAATTGAATGTGAAAATGTCAAAATGACCCTCTTTTTACCCTCTGTTTTCCCAACATTTATATAAAAACACCACAACCAGTTTAGACTAGAAATATGTAATTTAAATATCTGCCATGTGTAACCACTTACTAACAACTTGAATTGTTGGATTTTAATGTATAAAAAAACCCTTAGTTTCTTTAGTTTGACAAAGTTGAACAGGAAATAATGGAATTTTGGATAATAGAAGGAGATTGAAGAAAAGAAGGCCGTATGTCCTCCATCAGTCTGAGCCTATAGCAGCATAAATATAGAGATGAGTCATGATAACCTGAGCCATTCTAAGCTTTATCAAGTAGAAACAACTGGATAAAACCAGTTGTTTCCACAGGAGAGGAGCCTGACAAAAGATGATGTTCTTAACAGTTTCATATAAGAAAAAATAAATTAAAATTGTATGCAAATTATTTTAATTTATTCCCTGGTTGCTTTAATAAAAGCGTATAAATTATCTGCATTGTTGGCTTTAGTGTTTCTCCTCATCCTCTTTAACCCAGAACAATAACACCCTGGTTACTAAAGCAGCCTTTGGTACTTTGAGCTTGTGCTTGTGCCAAGTCCTGCTGGAAGATAAAAATAAGCATCTCCTGTTGACGCTAACCCTGAGATATCAGCTAGACTGTTTTACAGCTCCACCTACTGCTGATAGTAAGTCAAATGTTAGAAAGAAAAACACTTTATGTGAAACAGCTTATCAAGTCCAAAGTACAACATGTTCTGTGTTTATTTTTAGATATTAAAAGATTCTTTGGTAGTGTGGCAATACCACCTTCGACAAAGTTATCAAACTAACACCAAAAAACAGCTGCTACAATGGAGAAATTAGGATAAATTTGGTCTCGTAGAGAGAGAATAAGACACCTTTCTGGCTCAGATGGCTGCAGGATTGGTTCTTGGAAGATCTGCAGACACTGTGTGTTTTGGCAGCACTACTGCTTGGCCGTTTGGCTCCTATGCAACTCTTTAAGTTGATCCATACCAGAACCCAGACACACATAATTACAGCAGAGACAAAATAAGAATGATGCTGTATATTGAGGTGTGGGGGTGTCTTTCCTCATTCTCCTTTTATTTATTTATTTTTAATTCTCTCCCGTCTGTCTTCTCCATCAGTGTGTGCAGATATTTCCACTCTGGAATGTGAAATTTATCTGGGCTTAATGACTTCAGCAGATTTTATTACATTTTCTTATTCCACGCCACCATCTTCCTGTTGAATACTTCAAATACCAGACATTGCAGAGGCAAGAGGCACTTATGGAAACTTCTCTTTATTCATTTGAAACTTCAAAACTTGAGGTTCCTTTGCAAAAAATGTGCATACACAAGGTTATGTATAAATGCTACAAAATGTAAAAATGAAAACAATAAAAAAAAAGCATGCAAAACTTTTAGCTCCCCATGGAAAAACTGAGCTTTAAATGAATATATGAAAATATATGAAAAAAATAATATTTTACACATAGATAAGAAAATTTAGCATTTGCTATGATACTTTTAGACATTTCCCTTTGATATAGGATAAAGTCCATGGCACTATGGTGCTAGAAAGGGAAGTTGTGAGAATCTTGATGGGATGGCGTTCGCTCAGTGATACCAGTAATATCGAGGGAAGAGACCATCGTAGTGAAACTCTCGCAGCTGCTCGCTCCTCTCTCTTGTTCTCTCATTTATTTCTGTTGGTAAAAAGCAGAATTACATACAGTATGACAGTGTAGCTTGAAGCGTTGTGGCTAATGCTATTTTGTGACTTGGCATATTTACAGCCCAGAACACTGGTGTTCAATCTTATAAACTGAATCACATTACTGATTCATTTTACATAGTTATATTTATTCAATGCTAGATTTATGCTATAAGCTGTCAGGGTTCCTGTGTGAGTGAGTGCGAGTTATGCATCTCTTCCAGAGAGGATCTTTGTGGATAACCTGGGTAGAATACACAGGTGAGATAATCTCTCTAATCAGAGTGCTGGGCTTAAAGGAAATGCAGAGCCTTCACTCAGTGCTGGTTTCTTGTGTTGTTGATGTTTTGTTGCTTTCTAGGCTCTTGCTTCCCTGAAGTATTTTCCCTGATTTTTATTGGTTTTTGTTTGGTTTTCTGTACTTTCGATTTTTGCCTCTGTTCCCCCTGGACTTTCATTAAATCATCCAAACTTCAAACATTCGTGCCTACTCCTTTCTGCGTTTGAT